GCTCCAAAAACATGTAACAAGCACATGGTTTTGCCACGTCAATTTTCAAAAATGCCCGCGCTCGCGCTCCTGCGACTTCTGGCCAAAACCATCAGCTTTTCAACCTTGTCAGTAAATTCGGCCACACGGGCCCGTTGCGTCGCGCGTCAAAATCAATCGAACGCCCTTGTCAGCGCGCAAAGGGGGGCACGATCCGTGTCACATACCACAACGCGGGCCACTCGCGGGCGTCGGCCGCGCGCGCATGTCGAATTCCCCCAAGCCTGCATCACCGACGCGAGGGCGCCGTCATCGGCGCCGGCGCAATCAACATCGGCGCCGTCATTGGCCTTGCCAACCGCGTTGTCATCATTGTCGCAGGCATCCCTGCCATCATCATCGCGTTTACCGTTGTCGACTTTGCCATGGCACCGCGCCAGCTGAAGTCGCCGACTCGCACGGAAGTGCCCGCTGGAAGTGCCCACAAGTCAGCGCCACAGCAGCCGCGTCGTTCGCGGTTTCAACACGTTCATACAATTCTGCCAAACGAACTGTTCACGCCGCGTTCGAACTCATCCAAACGCCCTTGCGCGCGTGTTGGGGGGGGGGCACGATCCGTGTCAAATCAAACCACACGGGCCACTCGCGCGCGTCGGCCGCGCGCGCATGTCGAACTCCTTCAAAACCTTCATCGCCGACGCGAAAACATAGTCATCGTTACAGGCGGAAGCGATCAACATCGGCGCCGTCATTGGCCTTGCCTTCGTCATCGCCACTGTCATCACCACCATTGTTACTCTCAGAATGGTGCCTCCGGTTGCCGGCCTCGCCATAATACCGCCCGCCCAAGTCACCCACTCGCACTGATGGGCCCGCTGGGAAGTGCCCAACGGTCAGCGCCAGCGCGGCCGCGTCGGTCGCGCCAAACTAGTTGGCCGCTGTGCGCGCGAGCATGCGCGGCTAGCGCGGCCGCAGATATGCAACAGCCAAGGCCAAGCACTCATCGCAATCGCCGCCGCATGGGTTTTGCATACCGAGTTGCTGGTGGGTGGGTGGGATGTTGACAAGGGAATGGAATGTGTCAATTCGTTCATAAAAAATCCGATCGCACCACATAGCGTGCACCACAAGGGGTGCACAGCATAGATTGCACCCAGTGCAGTGCACCACGCCGGTTGCACCACATAGATTCACCACAAAAATTGTAGCACACATACATGTATACATATATTTATATATATACAAATATATATATATATATATGTGTATCCACACATATATATATATATATACATACATACATGTACGTGTGAACCACACAGATTGCACCACATAGACAGCTCCACAAAGATTGCACACAATGTTATCTGAAGAAGAAGATGGGAGCGGACTTCATGCTTGAACAGCCACCGTCGTAACACGAATGCCAGGCAGTTCAGAAGCTCATTCGAAGCACAGCTTATTGAGACGAGGGGTACAGGGCTCCGAAAGAGCGGTTGCACTTGAAAGCCGCTTTCTTCCTCACCATGCGCGTGGAAAAGAACAGACACACTGCTGAAAGAGAGGAGTAGAGAGAGGGAGGAGGAGGAGGCGGAGGAGGAGGAGGAGGAAGAGGAGGAGAAAGATTGCACAACATGTATTGAACCACCCAGGTTACACCACGTCGAGTCTTCCTTGTCAACAAAGAACTAGGATCTACCCCCCCAAAGCCTATCGGTACCCCCTGGGGCTATGCAATGTACATATGATTCTGCCCCATCGCTCATTTTAAATATGAACTCAGAACATCCCAGTCAAGCCAGGGTCGACCCCCCCCCCCCCCATCGTCGTGGAATAATGATGTGCGGTCACACTCGCTCTATCCGAAAAACATCAGCTTGCAAGGATCCGTGGTGACAACAAACAACGAAATCCACACGCGCGCGTCGTCTCGAGCGCATGCCCCTACCCTAGTATGCCCTACTCTACCCTACTCTAACCCACTCTATTCTACTATACGCTACTTTACTCTGGTCTACTCTATGGCAACCGAATAGACCACACTTCACATATCAAAATATACTCTGAGCGACTCTTCTCTACTCCTACTAGCCTGTGATATACCCAAGTGTACTCGACTCTTTTAATGAAAAAACTCACCTCTACTCTATGATGATCTGCCCTACCTACTCTCTCATGCACGACTCGACTATACCAAGCATAATCTACTCCACAATGCCCGACTTTACTCTACTCTACGCTGCGCTACTCTATTCGGCTCTACTCCACTCTTCTCGACCCTACCATACCCTACCTGACCCGATCCTACCCGAACCTCCTCTAACATACTCTAGCAGCGTCTGCTCTACTCGACTCACGCCTGCTCTCCACTAATCGACCCTGCTTCCATCACCCCATCCTATCCTACTCGGCTCTGCTCTACTCTACTACCTACTCTACTCTCTTCTCATATGGACTGCTCTACTAGACTCAACTCTGCTCGACGCTACTCTACTCAACTCGAGTTTACTCTACTCTATTCGACTCACTCCTACTCTACTCCGCTCGACTCTAACTACTCTCTACTCCCCTACTCCATCACAATATACTCCACTCGACCTTACTCGACTGGAATACGTTCTCCTCCATGGTGGTATACTCTAGTTGATTATTCCCGACTCTACTCTACTCCAACTGCTCGACTCTACACCACCATCTGTCCTACTCGACTCTACTGTATTATACTCTACTCTACTCGACTCGACTCTGCTGTACTCTACTCCACTATTCTAGATTATTCTCTACTCTACTCTACTCATCTACTCTTCTGTACTCTTCTGGAAGCCATTGGAATAGCAGGGCAAGCATTGCCGGATCAGAGGGAGTCATTGCAATATCAGAGGAAGCCATTGCCACAATTTTGGGCACAGTAGACGTATCAGTGGACCAGCGATTTGGATAGGGAAAACAATAGAGCCTTTAAAAACTGGATATAGGCAAGACTAATTGGATAAGGTCAACCATGAAACCTTTCCAAAACAATCATGACTGTGCGGGAATACTGTGTTTTGACAGTGTTCACCTGTTCCCGGCATAGACGACCAATGACTTCACTGAAAGAATAGATGGCTGTCGTTAGGTATGGGTAGCGTGTAACAAGAAACAATCGTAAACCCCAGTGATCGCTGTGCAGGCAGAAATCTCCTGATCTCAAGACTGCTGTTCTGAATCGAAACTAATGATACCATATGGTTTACTGTGAAACGATTGTTTTTTTAACTGGGAGCCAGTGCACCCTGTGAAAACACGCAAAAAAAATGTATGGTGTGCCTTGTTCTGCTTGTGCTTCTAAGGGTCTGGGGTATTCTACATGGGATGTCGATTCCCCAACTTCCCAGACCCCAGACAAACCATTTAAAACACATTGCAACATAAGAACAACAAACAACCAACTTCAACAGAACAACAAAAGAAAAATGCAGGCACACTATGATCTCACAGGAGTCGCCGGGTTCCGACTTCATGAATGCATGGCTTCACTGTCAAAGCACATGGTTTCCATTGAATTCACCTGTTGTATAATACCTATATACTACATATAGATGAACACGTATAAATAAAAAATATTGAAAAAAGAAGAAACTTGAAACTAGGTGATTCCTGTGCAGTCTGAGAACGAAGTGTTCCAGGAATGTTATAGCTGTTGCTTCTGTATGCTTTTTGCTTGATTGTTCTAGGGGACTTGAACTTTGATCTGGCTGGAATCCTGAGCTCGGCAATGCGCAAGCACAAAGCACTCATCTTAGGAACAGTGTCCCGACAGAAAGAGAGAGAGAGACAGACAGACAGACAGACAGACAGACAGACAGACAGACAGACAGACAGACAGACAGACAGACAGACAGACAGACAGACAGACACAGAGAGAGAGAGAACGAAAGATATACTAAGGAAGGAAAACATATGGAAGGGTGGGGTGATGGGGAGTGCTCCCTTCGGGCTTCGCGTGGCCAATCCCAATCCCCACCTGCGGAGATGGGCTGGTGGGGCTGAGATATCACGGCCCAGTGGGGATGGGAATGGACCAGGCGGTGCTGAGGCTTGGGACAATCCCTACGCGAATGCCCAGACCCCCGATGCAGTCAGAATAACCGCGGCGCCCCCCTTGCATCGAAGGTTTGCCCCCCCCTAGGAGCAGTGTCCCGCGTACCAGGCCCAAGAATGCTCAAAATTCTGAAAGGCTCCCTAACCTTCCCAGTCCTTCCGAGGGTCCTCGCAGGGGCTTCCCTCGGCTTCCCGCAAGAGTGACCCTAGGCAAGAGTGTCCTCTGGTGCGTAGCTCTTCGGGGAGAGCGGGGCGGCCAAAGCCAAGCGCGCAAACCCGCCCCTATCGCACCGCATCCAGCGGTCGGTGGACCCGGTTGGGCCCGCACCGAAGGTCACTTGGGCAAAGGCCCACTCTTACGTAGCCGACCCAGGGCATACCGCTGCTTTCCCAGGACTTCCCAGGCGCCTCCTAAGACCGCTCAGTGCGGCTGTGCTGCGACGGTTGCCCGCAGGATCCCGCCCAGAAGGCCTTGGCCTCGGCTGCCCTTTGAGCCCCTTTGACCGTTTGGGATCCGCGCCCCGGTATCGCATAGAGCGCTCCTCGCCGCGGTGATCAGCACGTCGCCACGGGCATCAGCATGTCGCCACGGGCATCAGCATGTCGCCACGGGCATCAGCAAAGGGGACCAGCAAGGGCCCCGGGGACCTACACCGTGCCCTGGGGGTACCGCGTCAGAGGCCGCATGCCGCACGCTTGGCGGGCACTTCCGGGGACCCCGGGTGCGCTGGCCCCTGCGATGTCCAACCCACACATGCCACGCATTTTTTGTTGCCGCTCTCCCGCGAAAGCCTCTGTGCCCAGCCGCATGCTGCTGGCAACGGTACACCAGGCCACATCCTGCGTACTGGCTCCTGCTTCCTCCGGACAAGCAGACGATATCTGGCGCTCAGCGGCCACGCGCGCACGCGGCGCAAAACTCGCTGCGGGTTGCTGGCCTCGGGAACTCGCAGGTGGAGCTGCTATTCAGCACCTGAAGGCTGAAATTCTCCCCCAGCTTCAGCAGCTTGCCAGAGCGGTTCGCGGCCGCGTCCTGTCGAAGCAGTAGCCAAAAGGATGATGAGGAGCGTACGGGGACCAAAAGAGAACCCCCACGCGGGGGAGAGGGGGGCAAGTGTGGGGCGAGGGGGGCATGCAAGTTCCCAACCGTCTTGTGGTGGGGGGTCCTCGCTCTGAATCGGCAGCGCCCCGCGTCCTCTCCTGCTCACCCTCCTCCCCCCCTGCACGTACCCTCCGCACCCATTTCGGCACACCCCTCACACGATTCGTGGCCCCATAGGGAGTTCCATCGAAGGGCCTCAGTGGCAGGATTCGAGGCACACCCCTCTCACGCTTCGGGGCCCCAAAGGGAGCCCCACCGCAGACGATCCTCAGAACTGCGGTACTCACAGCTGTATAATTACAGTTGGGCCCTTCGCCCCGACAGTTGTGTTGCCTTTGCGCATACTCCTCACAATCGGGCTTCGGAACCCTCTGCCCCAGCCCCAGAATGTGGGAGGGGGGGCCAAGTGAGGTGGGGGTGCGTGGGGGCGAGCTCCGACCCGTGCGGCGGCGGACGGCTCGGCAACACGACCCTCGTCCGCCCACGTCCAAGGTCTGTGAGCCGGGCGGCGGAGGGGGGCGAAGGGACGGAGGGAGGAGGACGACAAAGAGGAGGGAAAGGTGCAGACGCCCAGGCCCCGAGAAGCTCAAGAAAGCCTGACGGAACCGTGTAGCCGAGCGTGGGCGGACGCCAGACCCTCTGGGCAAGACCCCGTGGGAGGCAGTGCGCGGCAGAATGCAGACGTGCCGCGGCAAAACCGCGGGACCCCCACGGCGAAGCCCTGCCACGCGCGACCTCACGGGCAGCTCCCCGGAGGCGACAGCTGGGCCGCCGCGGAGAGGGACACCGTCGGCGGGATCCGAGGGGACAGGGCCAGACCCCCGCGGAGATGGCATCTGAGGAAAAGAACCAGACTTGCGAGAGACTCAACCATATGCAATTGTGGGCGCCGCGGAGCGCGTGGAACGAAGGATGAAACACTCCCTATATGGGGCCACGAAGCGTGTGACGGGCGTGTCGAAATGGACATGCGGTGGGCGTGCAACCGCATGCGGACACTGCCACTTGGGCCGTCGGTGGAGCTCCCGATTTTTTGTTTTGTCCCCGGAGCGAGAGAGCGCGGGCCTCTCGTGCCTTCGCGCGCCCAGGGAGACTCGGGGAGCATGGATGGGCGGATGCCCCGCGGCAGGCGCGAGGCCGCTCCCAGCATGCACTGATGCCTGCCTCTCTCACTCTCGCTCTCCTCCATTACGCAGTCCATCCGAGGCGCAGTGCATCGACTAGGCTGTGCCCCTGGCTTCCTATGGAATGGAACATCCTAGAGATCCTTATGAGACTCCTTGGAATCATAGGCCTTATAAATTATAAGAAGCAATACAAAGAGCATGAGCTGCAGCTGGCAGTGACGCCGACGCAGTAGCCTCGGAGGGCTGAGAGTGCATACCCACAGGGCCGTCTTGGAAGGCGTCCCGCTGGCCGCGGCCCCTGACCCAGACCCCCAATGGTGGTGCTCGATGCTGTGGAACGTGTGGGTTACGGGGCGTCCCGCATCAGTCGGCAAACTTCGTTATCGGCATCCAAGCTCTGCGCCTCCTGCAAGACATGCGATGCGAACTCCTGCAGCTGGTTGGGCTGCGGATCACGTCTGTGAAGAATGTTTTCTGCCATGATGCACAAGCTTGCGGCAGCTGTGCCAACATTGGGTCCTGCAACAGGACGGGCGCCAATCAATAGAGCAGTTTTTCGATCCCGTTCTACATCAGCAGATGCTCGCTCCAAAATGAGGTTCTCGAAATTCGTCAGTTTGGTCAGGTTGCCTGCCACCAAGATTTCGGGCAAATTAGTTGGCTGGCTGTTGCGTGACTCTTGGGCGATCACATCACCTGGAGAGTCCGCCATGTATTTCCCGTGAAAGTTGCGACTGTCTGCATTGAACCACGCAGGTTTCGTGCCGTAGCCCAGAGCGAAATCTCCATGGTTGATCGTGGCGTGCCACCACGCGTCTGGAAGGTAAAAAACTTCCCCAGGCCGCTGGATACAGAATTGCGGCCTTTGGCCTTTGGGAAGCCGAACCACTTCTTTAGCCCAGGCGCGCGTGGGGAGCACCAGGGGAAGCACGGTGTTGTACCAAGGCTGGTGGGGGCCGACCTGCTCGGGACCCTATACGAACCACGCCTTCTCCCCAGAGATGAGACCAAGCCATGCGGCCGCGTGCGTGTGCATAGCAAACCCACCACCCTGTGGGCTCATCGAGAAAGACGGACCAGTCCAGAACGTGTCGCCCTCTAGCTGCTGTGGTGTGTTGATCAAACCTGCTAACCGCATTTGACAGCACAAACTGAACCTGCAATCGGTGCTTGGTCTGTTGTTGGGGTCCATGCCGCGACGGTCTTTGCCATTTTCATCTACTTCACCGCACCAGAAATCTTCATGCTGACCCTTGGCTCCGTTCTTGAACTTTTCCATTAATTTTTTGACGGCAAAAGAGCCCTCTGATGTAATATATTTGTCTGGCGGCTGCGCATTCTTTAAGTTCCCCCCAGCTTGCTGCCATTCATCGAAATACTCAATAGAAATAGTTCCAAACCTCTCGGCCATACTCTGGAAGTCCCATGTCATGTTCATCGCAAGCCAGCCGTCGAGAAGCCCAGTTAAGATCATCGGTGTGCTTGGCATTTTGCCTGCGCATGACTCCCCACTGCATCCAGCTTCCGCGAACCATGACGGCCCATGAACGCGTTTCAAATCACACAACTCACGATTGTCATCGAAAAATTGTGGCCAACCATCATCCGCTGCTCCCTTGCTGGACAGACTCAGAGACTCAGTGACAGAGATGGATGAGAGAGTTAACACACTCACAACAATTGGCGCCATGTAGGACTAGAACCGTTGCAGTCAAGGTCGTGTGAATCTGGAGTCACGCTGGCTTCAGCCAACGTAACCTGACTTGAGCCAAAATGGCTACGGACCGTCGGTGGAACCCCCCATGAGGCCACGAAACGTGTGAGGGGTGTGCCGACATGGACATGCAGAAAGCCACACACGCACGGTTCTCATTGTCCACCTATTCCCTTCTCCTTCGTCCTCGTCGTTTCTCTTCATCCTCTTCCGACACGCTCGGATTTCTCAACTCCAGGGCGAGCCTGCGCTGATCGAGGAAAGAACGAGATGTGCATCCCCCCCTGTCCTTCCTCCTCCTCTTCCTCTTGATCGTCGTCCCTTTCCACCTAGTCCCCGTCCTGCACCTTTTCGAGGTCCTCCACCTCTTCCCTTCTCCTCCGTCCTCGTCCTCCACAGCTCGAAGGAAATCCTCGCTTGGTCTTCTGATTCTGGAATTCGGAATGTTGAATTCTGGGTTTCGCTGCCGCCTGGAATTCCGGGAAAATGCAAACCCACTCCTACTCGCCACTTGGCAACACCTGGAGGGGGCAAAAACGTAGCACTACGCTCTACTCGCCACGTGGCAACGCCTTGGAGGCGAACAAGAACCCACTCTACCCTGAACGCGGCAACGCCGCGGACAGAAACATCAAGCATTCCACTCGACTCGACATGTGGGAACGCCTCTTGGGGGGGGGGGGCTCCGCTCGATGCCCAGATTCTGAAATCGCCTGCGCGGACCAGCAGCACTGACACTCTCAGATTGTTCAACTCTAGGGCACCCGGGCTGATCAAAATGAGAGAAGAGGAAGCGATGAGAGAAGCCGCAAATGCAGAGAGGTAGCAGGCAGCAGGAACGAAAAAACGGGCGGGAGAGGCTGGGAGAATAGCGAGAAAAAGTGGAAAAACAGAAAACAGCTGTATTGCAAACGGGGATCCCACCAGAGGAAGGTTGAGAAAGAACACAGTCATTCGAAGGAGCTTCCGTTTGGCAAACCCACCGAAGACCCCCCAAAATTCCCAGGGAGGCTTCTATTCCGCAATAGGTTGCCCCCAGACTCAGAGTTCCACCACGAAATCGGGGTACGAAAAGGATCCCATCCTTCCCTGGAGTCGTCTGAGGAAGCCGAACGTGTATTTGCGCGCTGCTTCCCCAAAAGTGAAAACAGAACAAAGCAACAGCAGCATGACTAGACTGAAGCAAAAGAGTCAGATCGATGCTAACAGCCGAACATCGCGATCCAGCATGACCCTGTCCGCGAAGCCACCCACCGCGACGTCCGCGTCGGGGCCCTGTCGTGCCTGACAAAGCGAATGCCGAAAGAAGAGGTACGGCCGTGCCGCGTGATTCTCCCCTCCATTATTTCTCCTCTATGTCCTCCTCCTCCATGCCTCCCCCCGCGGACATGGGAGAAGACTTTGCAAAGGAAAAAGCACACTACCCCATGCGCCGATCCTGCAGAATTCGCACGGTGCGACCCCGAGGCAAACGAACCAGTACCTTCAGTGCATGCATAATCACAAACCGCGCATTCCGTCTGCAGACCCTGTGCTGCCACCGAGCAGACACGCACAAGGGCGACATTGTCCCGGCACAATGCGTGTGCAGCATGATACTGACGCGAGCATACCACGCTAGACTCCTTTCCAGAATTGGAGTTCCAACCATTCCTCCTATCCAGGCACAGTGGCTCATATATAGAAAAACAAAAAACATCATGGCGAAGGACCCAACCATATGCAATTGTGGGCACCGCAATTGTGGAAATCTTTTCTGGTGACGCTCCCTATGGGGCCAAGAAGAGCTGCACTGGGTGGGGGGGGAACGCATGCGGGCGGTAGCACTGGGGCCGTCGGTGGAGCTCCCTATGGGGCCACGAAACGCTATACTGGGTGAGTGAAAATGCCAAATTGGGCTTTCCAGACGCATCAAACGGTTGCACTGGGGCCTTCGGTGGAGCCCCCTGTGGGGCCACGAAACGCTGTACTGGGTGGGTGAAAATGCCAAATTGGACTTTCCAGACGCATGCGGACGGTGGCACTGGGGCCTTCGGTGGAGCTCACTATGGGACCACGAAACGCTGTACTGGGTGGGCGAAAATGCCAAATTGGGTTTTCGGGACGCACATGGACGGTGCCACTGGGCCTTTGGTGAAGCTCCCAATGGAGCCGCGAAACGCTGCACTGGGTGTGTGAAAATGCCTAATTGGGATTTCGGGACGCATGTGGCCACCCCCACTGGGGCCTTTGGTGGAGCTCCCCATGTGGCCACGAAACGCTGTACTGGGTGGGTGAAAATGCCAAATTGGACTTTCCAGACGCATGCGGACGGTGGCATTTGGGCCTTCGGTGGAGCTCACTATGAGACCACGAAACGCTGTACTGGGTGGGCGAAAATGCCAAATTGGGTTTTCGGGACGCACATGGACGGTACCACTGGGCCTTCGGTGAAGCTCCCAATGGGGCCGCGAAACGCTGTACTGGGTGTGTGAAAATGCCAAATTGGGATTTCGGGACGCATGTGGCCACCCCCACTGGGGCCTTTGGTGGAGCTCCCCATGGAGCCACGAAACGCTGTACTGGGTGGGTGAAACACAGGGAGGAGGGAGGAGGGGGAGGAGGAGGGAGGAAGCGGGAGGAAAACGCGGGGACCGTCTCTTCAAAACGGGGACCCAACACCACAGAAGGGTTGGGAAAAACACTTCGGGCCATCATGCGAATTCATGGCCAAGCCGCTCTTCATGACAAGGTATGGCGAAGAGACTGTACACAAAAGTGGCGTCGTATGCTCAGTCAGGGGCGAAGGCGGAATTACGTATTCCCTGCAATATTCGCACTTACTAGGCTGCCAGGGAGCGAGCCGCCGCGCTCCAGGAGACTCCCGAGTGCCAGCAGCTGCACGTGCAGCAGCCACGCACTGCAACCGACGTGCCGCCTTCTATGCAGCTCGCAAGACAGTCAAGAAGCATCGTGACCTGGACACTACTGCTCTGACTCGCGTTCGAA